GTTTGTAAAACATTTTGGTGCAATTACAGGTACGTGTAATGTAGAGCAGGGATGCGCAATTCCTATCACCAAGATATGTAGTTCCGGGTGCCGGGCAGGGTTTTTTTTTTTTTTCCATACATTTAGCCCTGCTCTCCTCCCTTTCTTGTTCGTGACCCAGAAGCAATGTGTATGACATCACTCCTGGGTCCCCATTGTCAATGTCTCCGACCATCGAGTCCGGGAAAGAATGTAACGCAGTGTGATCTGCACTGCATTCCATTCAGTAGAGCACAGAGGAAACATCCAGTACCTTTTAGACCCTGGATGTCTCATTAAAGAGAACCTGTCACCAAAAGATTTTTTGTCCCCATGTACAAAACAAAGTTAATTAAAAAAAGGAAAGCACACAAAATAACCCCTCCCCCCTCCACAAATAAGCAAGTACAAATGTAAACGCATGCGTCCGGGTGCCTACGCATGAAAATATTGATTGCGGTACATGTTACATATCACCGTGTAAGCTAGAATTAATAATTCCAGCACCAGACCTCCTCCATAATGCTAAAATGATGACCTACAGGGGGCTTTAAAGCATCTTCTATAAAAAAATATATCGGGTCAAAGCTGCAACTGACTAGGGGCCTCCACAGAGTTTACATCGTTACTAAACCCAGGACCCTACATTCACGATATCTGGTCTCCTACAGTACACAGAACATGGAAATGCCATTGATTTAGTAAACATAAACTGCTAAATACCTTTTCTCATCATCAGATAGAGCAGTCTTGTGACTTCAGTAGAGCACTGGTTAAAGCTTGTAGAAGGAGTTTTCTTTCTGCTCTAGGAGGATTCAAAACCCCTGACCTCTGTCTGGACAGTGCTGATTGGCCTGTGCTGATCAAAAAAAACCTCTAGCAATACACACTAAAGAGAGCATGTGCATGTGACTACGGGTTCAGTCTGTCTTATCAGGTGGACATTTGAACAAAAAGAGGGGCAGAGAAAACAGGGCCAAACGGCCATTTTATACAATGCGGAGGATTAACCCCTTAGGTTCCACAGTGAGTATAACAAGCATGCTTTACTGCATATACAGACTGATATTACTGTTATGGGTTAATAACACTTTAATCCTCATTTTCGGCTGTACAAGCCCAATGGATTCATTGTTATCCTCTTCTCTCGACCCGCTCTCCTTACACAGGGGCTGTCCCATGCTGTTGTCTTCTTTCTTTATAGCTCAGCGAGCTGGCTGTTACCTGCATCTTCAGCCCCCCCCCCCTTCATCCTGATGATGTGCCTCTAGATCTTGTGCAGACGAAGATCTGGCACCATGACCTTTTATACACTGTTTTATGAATGGAGGACAGTAATGCCTCCTGGTATACATATATCCCCAGAGGCAATATTTTTTCTCCATTCATAGAGCAGTATGTACACAGTCGCGGCATCAGTTCTCTGTCTGCCCAAGTGCAAGATCCAGGCCAGGTCTGTTTATGTGAGTGGTAGGGAGTCTTCTCCTGCAGCCTCCTGGGATATGTGACATCAGTATGTCAGGTGTCTACACAAGAAGAATTAAATGTTATTCTCGCCTGGAAGAGAATGGTGATGGGCACTGTGCCAGTAGGGAAAAACAGAAAAAAGTAGATACAAGGAAAAGAAAGGTCAGTTTTTGTGAAAAGGGGATGTGATGGGGTGAATTTCACAATACCCCAAACTTTGATTTTAGAGTGAAGGTCCCCTTTTAAAATATATGTAAACACTCACCTTGTAAAACAACCCACCAAGTTTAAAATACAAATGAAAGGTAAAACATTTGTGTATAGATATAAAAAAAAACATTATAAAACCTTTTTCCCCTTTTATAAGTGATAAAAACCTTCTGTTCTCAGCTGCATAGAGAGGTGAGGATGGAGAAACAGCAGTACACTTGTGTTTATAGTTCATGGCTGTAAAGGGGGTGTGTCAGGAAAAATCTGATCATTGGAGGAGAGTACACTGTGTTCCCAGCATTGCTAGAGAACTGACCACGCTGTGCTCTCCTGACTAGTGTAGTCAGTTTTTAATAGGAAAGCAGAGGGACTAACAGGAACACCAGGAATTAAACACAAAGGAAGCAATACCAAGAGAACAGGATACTTTTTCATACAAGTACATGGTGCAGCAGGCACATATCCTCCTGTATTGAATTGTATCGTAAATATACTGTCTGCCCTCATGTTGTAAACTGCTGCACAAACTGTTAACCTTGTATAAATCCTGTATAATAATAATAATAATAATAATAATATCAAGAATATGAAATGTAGGGTTTATATACACTTTATTATGTCACCAAACCAGGAATAGAGTGGAAGGCTCCCAATGGGGATCCTATTACTGCTTAAGAGAGGATTTTTCTCGCTTTGGAGAGATTTCTTCTTGCTTCCCAATGTGCCTATGTAGCACTACCCCCTTAGGAGTTGCTGAAGATTTGGGTCTACCTATAGTCCTGCACAGACAGACAACATACATTTCCTCAGACTTGCATTACAGAGACAGTAAATAGTCCTTGAGCTTGGTTTTTAGGGATATTGGACTTGGATGGGGTAAGGGGTGTATGGGATGCCCAAAGGAGGAACAGTAAAATGAAGACAACTTCCTGGCAACTATGTACAAGTCTATTAAACAGCAATGTCTCTTTGTTGGAAGAGCTCCCCAGCCCTCCAGGTGTACCCCCCCCCCCCCCAAAAAAAACCCCAGATAAATTCTCTTCTTTAGCTGTCTGGAGGAATCCTTGGGCAAGGGGATCCAGTAGCTACTACTTGAAAGGGCTTTCAGTCCTGGGTATGGAGCTGGTCAGGTTTCCCACCAGAATGCTCTCTCCACTTATCTGGCCAGGGGGTGCAGGATTACTCAGTCCTCCCCTGTGAGCTAGTGGTTTGGTAGCTGCTTTCAGGCCTTCTGCTGGGCTGGCTCCTTCCCAGGCTCCACAGGTAACCCTCACTCTGGGGGTCGGTGAGGCTGAGTGATCCTCCTTCCGAGGTCTCAGCCTGTAGGTAGGCCCCTTCCCACTGAGCCCCCTCCCAGGCTCTTACATCTCCACCTGCTCTCACATCTTCCACCCAAACTCTCTTGCTGCTGAGCAGGCTCAGTCCCACTTACAGGCTGCCCTGGCCCCATGCCAAGCCTCCTGCTTGGGGATTGGTCAGAGTTCTCTAAGTGTGCAGGCTAGCACTTCCCCACCCCCACCCACAGCTTCTAGCATCTTCTCCAAGTTTCTAGAGCAGGGGAAGGTATCAGGAAACTGACCTGCAGAACCTCTCAGCCCTGACCTAAATTTGAACCACTGTCTTAAGCCCAGGCTGCAATTCAGCCTTTCTAACTAACAAAAAACACAACTAGCTCCCCCTGGCTATCTAGAGGGGCGCTACACCTACAGGGCATGGAATGAAAGATAATCCCCGCAATGGGACACAGGTGCAAAAAAAAAAACCTGACAAGGGGTGTGAACCCTTCTTTTCTCTCTCCAAAACATTTTGGTTCAACACACTCTACTGTACATTGCTCCAATCCACAGTGCACATGCTCCCTGAGCAGCAGTCTTGATTGGAGCAATGTACAGGGGGCTTGTTGGACCACTCAGGACCTGGGCCCCTAGTAGTGTGTGAGATAGTGATCCGACTCTGGTAGCACAAGCTGTTTTAACTCTCCGTTGTCAGCAAGTCAAAAACAAATGAAAAGAGGAACATAGTCATTACAGTACGTGCCTGGCTGCATTAAAGTAATACATGCAGAACGTTCCATTGGGCTTTATGCTATAATGGATGCATTGGAACATTTGTATCTGTGTTTTTGATTAACCAAATTTTTTTGTCTATTTTTCCATCATAAGATCCGACTCCAACCAAAATGTTTTTGTTTTACTATGCCCGTGTTGGGGAAATTTCCGATCACCCCAGCCCTGTTCACACTTGAGCATTTTGTAGCTCCTAGATCTAAGCTCAAAAACGCACAACAACGAAATACCTATTGTTTTCAATAGCCCTTGTTCACACCTGAACTTCTTGTCACTTGTCACAAAACACCTGTTGCTCAAAAATGTACATAAGCTACTTTTCAGGCAGATCTCAGCATTTTTGTTTTCAGTGAAAACCCCTGAAAAGCACGTCATGAGCTTTTTCAAGTTTTTTTTAAACGATTTGTCACTCGTTTTTGTGCGCTCCTTTTTCAGCAACACTCCAAACGTTTAGTTAAAAAAAAGCCTGACAAAAGCTGCACAAACGTACAATTCTGCTCCAAAAGAACACTTACAAATGCCTGAGAAAATGATTGAAAATGCAATGCTGGTGAATTGATAAAAAATTTGATTGCTTTCCTTGCTGATCAGTTGAGCCATACACCACACAATCAGCTTGACTGACCAATCCAACCTATCCTGTCATTTTCCTCATACTTCTGATATCTGAAGTCAGGCATATGTTCAACATGGGAAAAAAAATCAGTAATGGCACCATTTAATCAGAATATCAAAACAATAGTTTCATTTATATATCCAATCTATACAGCTATAAATATAATGTTGATATATACAATACACAATCTGATTGTACAATATCTGTACAATTTCCTTTAGAGTTGCTAAAACTATATAATTTAAACCCAAGCCATCTATTCAATTAGCATCAGATCAGACAAGATCTTGCACTGCTTAGTTGTTGGTAGATCTAAAGCTGGCTATAAACTATACAATGGGGTTTTACAATCTCTGTACAATCTCTTTTACCACCATATGTGTGGCTTTGAGGGCCACGATTTGCGTGGGCATGAGAGCCCATTCAATTGAATGGACTCTCGTACCCCAGGACACACAGGGAAGAAGTCCCTGCACTACTTGGGAAATCGCAGCCCGCATGGGAACCGAGGTTCCCAGTACGTTTGCGATTTCTAGTGCGGGCAGCATGCCATTAGCACCTGCCTGCGGGTCCCCCGTTCCCCTGTGTGGGTGGTGCGGCTGCAGGTATTTGTGTGGGTCCCCCATTCCTCTGTGTGGGTGGTGCGGCTGCAGGTATTTGTGCGGGTCCCCCATTCCTCTGTGTGGGTGGTGCGGCTGCAGGTATTTGTGCGGGTCCCCCATTCCTCTGTGTGGGTGGTGCGGCTGCAGGTATTTGTGCGGGTCCCCCATTCCTCTGTGTGGGTGGTGCGGCTGCAGGTATTTGTGCGGGTCCCCCATTCTTCTGTGTGGGTGGTGCGGCTGCAGGTATTTGTGCGGTTCCCCATTCCTCTGTGCGGGTGGTGCGGCTGCAGGTATTTGTGCGGTTCCCCATTCCTCTGTGCGGGTGGTGCGGCTGCAGGTATTTGTGCGGGTCCCCCATTCCTCTGTGTGGGTGGTGCGGCTGAAGGTATTTGAGCGGGTCCCCCATTCCTCTGTGTGGGCGGTGAGGCTGCAGGTATTTGTGCCGGTCCCCCATCCCTCTGTGTGGGTGGTGAGGCTGCAGGTATTTGTGCGGGTCCCCCATTCCTCTGTGTGGGTGGTGCGGCTGCAGGTATTTGTGCGGGTCCCCCATTCCTCTGTGTGGGTGGTGCGGCTGAAGGTATTTGTGCGGGTCCCCCATTCCTCTGTGTGGGTGGTGCGGCTGCAGGTATTTGTGCGGGTCCCCCAATCCTCTGTGTGGGTGGTGCGGCTGCAGGTATTTGTGCGGGTCCCCCATTCCTCTGTGTGGGTGGTGCGGCTGCAGGTATTTGTGCCGGTCCCCCATTCCTCTGTGTGGGTGGTGCGGCTGCAGGTATTTGTGCGGGTCCCCCATTCCTCTATGTGGGTGGTGCGGCTGCAGGTATTTGTGTGGGTTCGGCAGCGGCACCACCCGCACAGGTGTGAACTGAGGGTTATAGCTACCAAAACTATGCAATATTAAGACAAATCTAATCCGCCTGGCATTACTAGGGTTGTTGGTCCGATTCCCAACCACGGCACCACCTGCCTGGAGTTTGCATGTTCTCGCTGTGTCTGCGTGGGTTTCCTCTGGGTACTCCGGTTTCCTCCCACACTCCAAAGACATGCTGGTAGGTTAATTGGCTCCTGTCTAAATTGTCCCTAGTATGTGTCTGTATGAATTAGGGACTTTAAGTCGCACGCCCCTTGAGAGGGTTAGGGACTGATGCGAATGTACAATTTATATGTAAAGTTCTGCGTAAAATGATGGCTCTATATAAGTACCTGTAATAATAATAATCGGATTGTAAGGTGTGTGGCAGGGGCAGACTGACCATTTGGAAACTTGGGCACTGCCCGAGGTCAGTAGGGGGCCCCATGAGATGCCCCTGGTACCTTTTTCATAGGCTTTTTTTGTGTTTGGGCAAGGACACAGGCGCCCCATGATCCCCTATTGCCCGGGGGCCCCATGAGGTGTGTGGTCAGCTTTAGGATCAGATTAAGGTGTGTATGAGAAAAATAAATACAGCCATAGTCTGACTCCTGTGAATTTGTAGACAGATCTCCCAGGACATCTGACTCTTCTGCTCCTCTAAACTCCAGAGATGATCCATGGGACTACATCAGTCCAGGAAAACTTCAGTCTGAGGACCTCCGAAAAGTTTGGTGTGTCCCAGCACAGGGACGGTGAGCCTGCTGTCACCTCTCCATCCTCCCTAACCCCGCACTGCCAGCTGTCCCCATAGTGTGTACAGCCCGCCGATCCCTCCCTATAGACATCTATATACCGCGAGTGTCAGTGCTGGCCGGTGACATGCAGCGCGTGCGGCACACCCTCCTCCTCCTCCTCCTCCTCCCATACACACGGGAGGGCTCCCCCTACTGGCGCCGCACCTCCATCTTATATATAGAAGCTCATCAGCGCTGAGACCTCAAAGAGCAGACAGAGAGAAGTGTGAGCACTGCTCTGGTCTATGTCAGCGCCATCTCAGGAGCCGGGTAAGCCGATGGGGTGCAAAGTCACCTATGTGACACGGGAGGGGGAAACGTGACTCCACCCAGATGTGTCCTATAACCTATTTGTCAGTTTGTGTTGGTGAGGGGGGGGGCACGTTACATAGAACTTCTCCTGTAAATGACTCTGGAGGGGTGACACTCATCGCGGGACCCTTCTCGTAGAGATCACTGATTGAGGATCATTTATTATATGATGTGTGGGCTGGGAACACGTGTGATGAGGAGTCTTATGATGGACAGCTGGGAGTGAAGTGGGAGCACCTCTCCTCCAACTACTGATCACAGGCGGCGGCACACCACCAGGAGAGTCCCACCAACTGGAGGAAAACTTTTGTACAAGTCTGCTAGGATCAGACATTTCATAGGATATTAGTGCTAATATACATATCAATATTTTTTTGTGTTAATATTTACAGGTATATTATTATTATTATACAGAATTTATATAGCGCCAACAGTTTGCTCATCACTCTAAAATATATCTATGTACAGTATTTCTATGCATATATTTATATATCTTTACATATATTTACATATATCTGTGTGTGTATATATATATATAAAATGAATATGTGTGTGTGTACTGTCTGTATGTGTGTCAGTATTGCATATATTTGTCCTTTTATTTTATATACTTATAGTATATCTTCTATTTACACCTGACAACTCCTGTCACTATTTTGTGTATTGTGCATATTATAAACCAGATGCAGTACATTGTTATCTATTTATAAACATGTACAAAGTTGCTGATTTTACAATGTAGTTGCAGGATTGTGGCATGTTAGCCTTTGATTCATACAGAAAGTTGTGCCCCCATTTGTGATTTTGGAGGTCTGTTTGTGCATTTGTACGTATGTGTGTTTTTGGGTGTTTTCAAGCTTGAGCTTTTTTTTTTTTTTTTTTTTTTTTTTGTAGGAAGGTACTAGGAGGAGGAGAGATAAGATGTCACACAAAAAAACACATTATCTTATTGAGGTCTATAGGGGCCAGAAAGAAACTCTCGTACTTTTTCAAGCTTTGAGCATCGAACGTTAAGTTGCAGGTGTGAATGGGCACCATTGAGTACATTGGGAATCTCAATGCTAAACATTGAAGCACTTTTGGAAACGTCCTTCCATTTGATCAGGTGTGAATGGGCACCATTGAGTACATTGGGAATCTCGATTCTGAATGTTGAAGCACTTTGGGAAATGTGCTTCCAATTGATCAGGTGTGAATGGGCACCATTAAATACATTTGGAAATCTCGATTCTGAATGTTGAAGCACTTTGGGAAATGTGCTTCCAATTGGTCAGGTGTGAATGGGCACCATTAAGTACATCGGGAATCTTGATGCTGAATGTTGAAGCACTTTGGGAAACGTGCTTCCAATTGGCCGGGTGTGAATGGGCACCATTAAGTACATCGGGAATCTCGATGTTGAATTTTGAAGCACTTTGGGAAACGTGCTTCTAATTGGTCGGGTTTGAATGGGCACCATTAAGTACATCGGGAATCTCAATGCTGAGCGCTGAAGCACTGTGGGAAACATGCTTCCAATTGGATGGGTGTGAATGAGCACCATTAAGTACATCGGGAATCTCAATGCTGAACATTGAAGCACTTTGGGAAATGTGCTTCCAATTGGTCAGGTGTGCATGGGTACCATTAAGTACATTGGGAATCTCGATGCTGAACGTTGAAGCACTTTGGGAAACGTGCTTCCAATCGGTCAGGTGTTAATGGGGGTCTAAAAGTTATCCTTTGCTGGCTAACTTTAGTTATTAAAGATGCACACTTCAAGAAAGCCTTAGACCCCCTCTTTAGACTTTATACAATTATCCGAAGCCTGAAGGAGGGATCTACATTATACTGAATGCTCACATCTTGAATTACCTAACTTAGCCAATAAATCGAGTCTCTTACTCTCAAACTTTCTGCAATATAGCCTCACATACATTGATTTATTAAGGGAGCAAGCATTGGGGTTCATTTACTAAAACTGGAGTGTGCAAAATCTGGTGCAGCTGTGCATGGTAGCCAATCAGCTTCTAACTTCAGCTTGTTCAATTAAGCTTTGACACAAAAGTTTCTATGCAGAGCTGCGCCAGATTTTGCACTCTCCAGTTCAACCTCAGTGTATGTTCACTTTTCAAAGTGAATGTTAGTGAATAAGATGAAGCAATGTTCACTTTGTTTACAGCATAAATAATCATTTAAAAAACACATCAGCCCTGCACATCATTAAGTGTTCAATGGTTCACCTTATTCACTGACATTCACTATCCTAGGTGAGCAGCCTTTAGTAAATCAGCCCCCATGAGTCCTTTTATGATAGGTGCAATGATGTAGGACCCAGTGACATGGTAGTGCTATATATACAAGCTCTGAGCATGACCTCTGGCCGCTGAGGTTAACTTCCATCATCCTTCAGCCATTTGTTTGCCACCCATTAACTCCTATAGCACTTTTAAATTGCTGCTTAGAAATAAACACTCCCTGGCTTGAACTCTGCAAAATAAATTACAGCACAGATTTAAAAAACACAAAATACCTAACAAATATAAGTGCATGCACCCTTGTGTTGTCACCTCCCAGTTTTCCAGCATTTACATTTTTATTTTTAATCTTCAGGATATTTTCAGAAAATAATGCATATTGTTGTGCAGACACATTTCCTGTTGTAGTGGTTTACTGCTGTGCCTTTGTCTTTTTTTGTGCCCCGACCTGTGAAAGAAAATCAGTTTACATTTAAGGGCAGACAAGACCAGACCATGTCCAGCAAAGTCTGGTGCTTTTGTATGCCTGGCAGGGAAAGTGCAAGGTCCCCCATAGCCTGTTGTACTGGGTTTGGGAAATTCTTGGGCTCAGTAAAAAGTTATGCGTCTCAGTCAAGGTGATTTGTTGTCTGCTTACCTGAAATCTCAGTGCTTTTCGCTGTGTAACTGTACACTTGTTGGCTTAATACATTAGAATTATTACTAGATAATAGAAGGATCAGATCCAGACCTCTGGGAACTTGCACATGCTCTAGAGCAGGAGTCTCCAAACTTTCTAAACAAAGGGCCAGTTTACTGTCTTTCAGACTTTAGGGGGGCCAGACTATGGCCATTGGGAATAGAAATTGTCCTGCGTCATTGGGAGTAAACAATGCATCTTTGGCATTAGGGGAGGAATTGCGCCCTATTCTTGGTGTAAGTTGGAGAAATAGTGTCCCATAGTGTGGGAAGAACAATGCCCCGTTGTTGGTGTCAGTGGGGGGAATAGTGCTCCATGGTTTGTTTCAGGGAGAGAAATAGTGACTGTTGTTAATGTCAGTAGCAGGAATTATTCCTTCTTGTTGGTGTCAGTGGGAGGAATAGTGACTGTTGTTGATGTCAGTAGCAGGAATTATGCCTTCTTGTTGGTGTCAGTGGGAGGAATAGTGACTGTTGTTGTTTTCAGTGGCAGTAATTATTCCTTTTTGTTGGTGTCAGTGAGAGGAATAGTGACTGTTGTTGATCTCAGTAGCAGGAATTATGCCTTCTTGTTGGTGTCAGTGGGAGGAATAGTGCCCTATGGTTTGTTTCAATGAGAGGAATAGTGACTGTTATTGATGTCAGCAGCAGGAATTATGCCTTCTTGTTGGTGTCAGTGGGAGGAATAGTGACTGTTGTTGATGTCAGTAGCAGGAATTATGCCTTCTTGTTGGTGTCAGTGGGAGGAATAGTGCCCTATGGTTTGTTTCAATGAGAGGAATAGTGACTGTTATTGATGTCAGCAGCAGGAATTATGCCTTCTTGTTGGTGTCAGTGGGAGGAACAGTGTCTTGTATAAGTGGGAGAAAAAGTGCCCCAAGGGCTGGATAAGGGCAAGCAAAGGGCTGCATTCAGCCCC